AATGCACATTAATTCTTAAACATTCGATGAAAAACAATTATTAAAACAACGAAAAACAACGATTAAAATATCTGTTAATCGATTTACCACAAATTTTTTATTTCTTTCTTATATCGCATTGACATAAAATTTCATTAATAATATTTCCAAAGTAATAAATATAAGGAAACGTATTCAATTTTTATTAATATATATTATTTAACAAATATATTTATTTTATTTTATATTGAAAAATGTTTATACATTATTAGAGTTTTATTAGGATTTATAAATTATCAAGTTTAAAAGATTAAAAAAATAGTATAAGTTGTTTATGCAATAAATACTTTTTTAGAATTCTTCGCATTACAAAAATATTCCGTATAATCAATTAAATTATTTATTATTATAATGAATATTTAAATAATTAATATTCTTCAGATCATTGTATGTGTGCACGCGCGCGTATTGTTACTCTGTGTTAAAGTATTTAATTGTATATTAAAAAGTTCTGTATTAAACTCGGAAAATATATATACAACTGTTTTATTTAATTTATTTAATAGCATATATTCCAAGTTTTCAATTCTTATACAAAATTGCATTAATATGCTAATTATGTAATTATTAATTTGTGATAAATAATTTTCTAAACAAAATAATTTCATATGTATATATATATATATATATATATGTATATATATGTTATATTATATAATCTTCAAATAAATACATTAATTTATTATCATAATATATATTTGAATTTAATTTCTCTTACGTTACAATGTTTATCGTTAACAAATATTATATTTCGCACACTTTATTGACAATATCAATGATTATCTTTATGGGAATAATTTTTGATAAAAAATAATTCGATCCAATATTGAATTCTAAATATATGCTTTTCTCAATAATGACAAAATTTTGAATATAACAGTACATTATTTTTGAGTTATATGTTTCAATTTAGTTTATATATACATTTTTTAAAATAATAAATTTTATTTATTTATTTTTACTTGCAATGTATTTTTCATTGGTTACCACGGTTTGGCTAAACAAAGTAGGCTACGCCCTCCAAAAGTTTTACTATTTTAAAATAATTATATTATAATAATATACAATATCAAAGACAAATTTTTTTTTTTGTAAAATTAATAGTATATATATATATATATATATATTTGCTCAGTAACGTTTCTTAATATGATATATCAAAATTATTATTAAAAAAAGAAACAAATTCTCACATTAATATTAGTTCAAGTTTATATTTGTTTGAAAGACATACTTACTTTGCCGAGAAAGAAAAGTATTTCAATTATTTACGTTGTCTTTGTAATGTAAAAAGGAAAAAATTCAAGGTCAAAATTATTTTTATTTTTACTGATAAAAACTATTTTAATATAATATAAGCATAAAGATCCGATACTTTTTTACAAAAATAAAAACATTTTCATATACAAAATAAAAAAAAATTTATGCAAACTGTATAATAAAATGTATCATTTCATCAGAATCATTTTAATAGACGACGCAATTTTTATTTCAAACCACTTTTCAATTTGAATTTTTAATTTTTATTTTAATTTTATTTTTTTATTCGTACACAAGTTAATTATAAAAATTCGAAATGCGCAAATTGCATATAATTTTACTTATTTTCATTACTGTTAATTCAAAGCAATACACCAGTTGAGAAGAAAGAAAAATTAATAATTATTGTGTAAAGGCGATAGAAAATTTAAATTTAATAGTGAAAATTAAAAGTTAAAAATGAAAATATGAATAAAGAGACCATGAATTTTTATCTCTTTTTAAATAGATAATTTTAAAATTCAGCCATTACAAATAATAATGTAACATTTACATTTCAAGTACAATCTGTCACAAATTTTCTTTCTTTAGATTAAACGCAATATTAATTCCGTATATTGCTAGACTTTTTTTTTGTTATTACAAACAAAAACAAAATGAAAACCTTAATAATACTTTATAGATGATGAAAGTTCTTTACATTCGACTACCTATTGAATAAGCGATCCTCCCTCCGTCTTAATAACTTATCCAAATACGATTAAGCTTTTATCGTGAAAACATTTGTACTTTTTAAATGGCCCAAAAAGATTTTGCCAAGAAACATTAATCTCAAAATGGCGAGTAATGCAAGTTTAAAATGCACTCTCTGCAATGTCACAGTCTGTAATGTTGTGCGCTATTCCGGACGTCGTCTTCTCCCGACACCTGGCCCCTTTCCCCTCCCACCCTACAACGACAATGAATATATCGCGTTCGATTTTCTATGGAGACTCATTTATCCCCTTTAGCCCTCAATCAAATACCAAACGGGGATGAAAATTGCCAAAAAGTCAGCCTCACTCGCGTCCGCGTACTATCGAACAAATCGAAGGATTCGCTTTTTCGGGGAATTGAATTAAAATTGGTACACTTGGATCGTTGCCATGCCACGGGGACCGGGACACGTCCGCGAGGCGATCGTATATTCTCGGGGGGAGGGATGTTTGACGTCCGCACGAAAGGGAGTGCTGAGCGAACAACGTAATTAGAATTACTGACGATCGAGGGCCGGCGTACGACAATGCGAGGCCTTGGCTCGGGGTAAAAAGGCCCCGCTGCTCGAGCCTTCCGCCCAGTCGCCGTCACTGAATATCGTCCGAGGGTAAGAATGCCAGCGCCATGATCCCAGCCCCGTTAATTATCATAAAGGCTTCGCGTGCGCGCGTTATAAAGGGTCGTGGTTGGAGGGTGGAGGGCGCGGTCCCCACGGGCCGCGCAATTGATTTCTTCCGGCGCCAGGGGATCCGGCGGGGCCGTCGCCGACTGCATTGATAACAGTCGTCGACGTCGTCGCCGTAGTCGTCTGGCGCCAGGGAGGCACTCGTAAACGCGCCCGAGATTGTATATCTCTGTCCGGGAGACGACTTGGAATGTAGGTTACGTGGCTCCTTGGCTGCGGACACGATTTTTCGGGATGAGGTATGAGGAAATTACGGACTCGGCCAAAATTAGGCTGTCGGGCATCATCAGCTCGATCATTTTGTCTTTCGCGCCAGGGACTCGCGGGCCTATCAATTGCTTCGCGTAGGCAAATGTCAGGATGGGAGGCCAGGGCTGGAATGTTTTAGCGGCCGAATATGAAAGCGTGGGAGAATCAGCTGTCAGCTCGAGTATTTCAATAATGAAATGAAAATGCAAGACATAAGAATTTTTTAATATTGTTATCGGATGTTTTTTTTTTTTTTTTTTTTTTTTTTTTTTTTTTTTTGGATACTTTGTCATACTTTGTTATTATGGAGCGAGATTCCGTAATACCAAGTGGATAATAATTCCGTAGTATGTCAAAGTTCGTTACGACGGAATTGCGTAAAGGGGATTAATCAATCGATAATAAGTTTGCTTTTGCAAATGTAAGACAGAGTGCTGATTAAAATCATTGGAATAAAATCTATGAGATTTGATAAAATAATCGACAATAAGAAAGGATGTATTTGATAGAAGAAATACAATGTGTCCCGATTGTAATTTAATTGCTTTGCTTGACCTGAAAAGATTCATTTCTCCACATTGGAAAATAAAATTATAAACTCTACGTTAAATCCTTTCAATATCTGAAAATGTAAATTAAAAGATATAGAAATTAAAATTCTTGGAATATTATTCCTTTCATCTGATTTTCAAGTGCTATTCGTACAATTGTGTAGCTATTGTTGTCATTATTATTATTGGCATCATAATAATATTATTATTATGGTACTATACAATATTTTTTTAATAAAATCTGACTATATAAGATAAGTAACAATTGAAACATTAATATTGCTCGTGGATGCAAATGTCGTAAGTAAAACATGAGAATTTTACAAATAAAGTCGTCGGCAAATGAAAAGCTTAATATTCTCATTTATATGCACTTGAAATTACGTAGTCTTATATCAAAAACATCTATTTTCTTAAACATAAAGAAGTTATATAACATAGCAATAATATTTAATCAATAATATATCATTTAATATTATGTTAATGATAATAATAGTTTATTATATTGGGCATAATCAAGCATTTTATACGTTAAAGCGTTAATTCAAAACGTTGTACCTTAAATAAATAATTTTTAAATTGTAAACTGAATTGCATTTATTGTATCCATGTAGCTCTAATAATTTAATCAAAATTTTTTACAATTACGTTTTGATATAATATTTGCTTTTAATGAATGAAGCATGCGCATCAAATTTAATCCTAATGAGTTTAAATTACTTTTGCTCATTGCACGAAGAGATTTACTCGATGTCATAAATATATGGCGCTGTTCAAAAGCAAAAAGTTTACTTGCTTCGATTCAAGATAAAATTGTATATAAATTTTGAAAAATTGCTTTTCAACTCGTTCGCTCGATAATAAATGTTCTTTCAAACATTCATATCCAGCAAAATAAATAGTTATAAATCGCCAGCCTCGTACATATCCATTGAATTGAGAAAACTGTGCATCTTATCGAGGAGAATAACAATCGTCTATCCGAGCAGTAGTAGCAGCAGCAATAATTATAATTTGGGACATCAATTTTTAATAAGCAATGGTAATGTCTGTGTAATAAGTGCTGTAAAGCTGTAATTCATTATGTCTCGTCGTGTAAGCTCCTTCGATCACTAGACTTGATTAATTAAAGGAAAACTGTAAAGCTACAAAAACCAACAGCTGTCCCACATACTTTTCGGCTATCTTTCTTACGGCACATTTGTTTATCGGAATATCGTAATGCCCTCGTGGGTGTAATTATCGTCCCGCGCACGAGTCAATGAGACGGAGGCAGCTCGAAAAATTAAAAATAGTCCTTCGAATAAAAGTAATCGTAACGTAGGAAGGCCTGAAACCCCGAGCAACATCCACACGGAAAGCAAAATTGACGTGCGGCAAATGATCGGTCGATGGTCGATCGAGAACACAAAAGGATAAGGAAAGTAGCCGATATCGTTAAATCGGCATCTGATACACACCGCCGTTCTTGGTCTCGTCACCGATGAAGTCCCGCACGATGTCTTTGGCCGTCTCCTTGACGTCCTCCTTGGCCTCCTCGACGGCCTGCTGTATGCTTTCCTTACTGGTGTTGCAGCCCATCCCGTCGGTCGGCGCGCACCCACTCCTCCACGTCACGATCTTCTCGGGCTTCCACGTCCCGCGCGGCCGACCGGAGCCACGGCGTTACTACTGAGGACTTGGGGGGCAGGCAGGGCGCCGGGACAAGGCTACGATTACGTTAAGGCGACGGAATAGGGGAATAGGGGACTGGTGAACGGAGTGGATCGAATAAGGGGAGGGTCGCGGATTGGCCTCCTAGTGCGTCTAGGACTGCTGCCGAGGTTCCGGCTTAACGCATGACGGGTGGCCTTGGCCGATGATCGGTTAAAGTCTCTGCCTCGGTCGTGGTCGTCCCTAGCTCGGCGTCGCGGGACGCACTGATGTCGCGGCGGACCCCGACGTCGCTTCGCCTCGACGACCCTGCCCTTGCCGGCGCGACGAGAGCCGCGCGCCAGACCGCTCGATATATAGGTATAGTACAGTGCGGGACCTCGAGGGAAACGCGCCGCCGGGGTGGGGCGAGCGCTCCGAGTAAACACCGTGAAAGGAGGGCCACGCTAGCTGCTGTGGTGCGAGGAGGACCGAGGAGGACCGAGGAGGGCTGCCGATAATGTCGAATGAGCCGTGGCCGTGGGAGACAGTGGTCGGCTACGGGGCCGGGTATCGGCGGGCGAGGTTTTGGGCGAACGTTTTGGCGGAGAGTAGTTGATTAAGGGTGGTTTTTGGGTGGGAGGGATGATTGGAGGGAGGGAAGGAGGGAGGGAGGGAGGGGGCGGTGTATGAAGAGGAGTCGGGAAGATCACGATAAGAAGAAAGAGCTTCTGGGAAAAAGTTTAGCGGCGGTGCTGCTAGGATAACGGCCGATGCTCGAAGCCGCGAGAAAAGCTCCCATTGAATTCCCAGCACAATCACATAGACACCCAGAGTGTACGGGAGCCAAATGTAATTAAATAATGATACGGAGCTCTTTGATGGATATTCGATTTTCCAAAAAGGCCGATTCAGCATTCTTTGTCCATCGTGAAAGATCCATAGCTCGCGTCACTATCTTGGCTCGGATCATTTTTAAAGCGCTCTTCCCCCGATGGTGATAGCGCGACCATTATTCACTTACATATACTTTGTTTTGCTAAAAATTTCCTTATTTTCATTTAAGCAAGGTATAAGGGTATATAGTCCAGTATCGGTATACTTTCTTCATGTGGAATAAACATTTTCTTCCTCATCTCCTTCATCTTCTTCTTCTTCTTTCTCTTCTTCTTTTTCTTTTTGTTATTGAAAATAATGAGATAATTTTCATAAGAAAAAAAAAAAATAAAAAAATATTAATAAAGCACTGTTTAAGCATTTTATAATACAATCGAATACGAGAGATTAAACATTCGTGGCATAAGTGCTTTTTATTCAAAACAACATGATTTACAAACTATACATTAATGTTGATTTAAATATCATAATAAATATGGCTAAACAGTAAGAGAAGAATAATTACACCATATTTGTCAAATTAATATTTATTTCGTTATTATTTACAGTTTATGCTTACGAAACCATTATTGCTAAATTTTAAATTGGTTGCAAATATTAATTATTCAAAAACTAACTATCGAATGTTGGAAAAAAGTTGTCTTATATTCGATTTATAAGTCTTCGGAGTTGCGGAAACACGAAGGAATAAAAATATAAGTGTAAATAAAAAATAAAAATATAATCGATCTTCTTTCGTTAGTATGTGTAATATTATAATGTTATTGCTGATTTGAAACACTCGATTGAAAATATCTAGTAATATGATTATTTGTTTACTTCAATTTACAATATGTGATTAATATCTAATACAAAATACAATTAATTTTCAATTAAACAAATAAAATTTTCAAATTAATAAATAATATTTCAACAATTTAGAACTTCTATTTGCTATTATACATTTTTTAAATTAGTACTTATCTTATTAAAATTACAATGTGTTTGAAAATTCATAAACAATCATAGATTTATGATTAAAAAATCGAACTTACATAATTATAATACAAGCATATATCATTAGAATAGAATTATTTGTATGCACAGGAAATTTGAATGAGAAATGATATTGTACAGATGACCGATAAATGCACGTAATTATAAACAAAATATTTACATACCGATATATAAAATTATTTCTCATACTTTTTCTATTTAAATAAAGATTTAAGATGATAATGGTTAATAGTCAAGAAGCTCAAATGTTATTGAAAAGTATGTAATTGCTAAAGAAATAATTTCAGTGAAATTTCAAGTATTTTATATTTATTATCTAAAATATTTATATGAAAAATAGCGATTATTCTATTTGTTTTCATAATTTCATAATAAATATGATTTATCTATTTATTGTCAGGATAAACTAATAACTCACATAATATGAAATAATAAACAAATGCATAGCAAAAAAAAAAAAAATTCTAAATATTTGTGACGCGCGTACATTTGCATATTTATAACGGAGATATATTTACCGTTTAATTATTGTATAAAATATGCTGAAAATATTCATTATCTCTTTGACATTAATTTCTAAAATATTTATAAGATATATGGTGTAATATTAAATATGTTTCGAAATTATTAAGAGATATTAAGAGATCCGAAATTATAAATTATTAACTTCACATTTAGCACATGCGAAGTTATCGTAACATTATAAAGTAATCACTTATATTGAAGCAATTTATTCTACTTCTATTGATAAAATTCTATTAACATTAATGTGCCTTAATCCACAAAAATATTGCAACTTGATAGATTTAAATTACAATTGAGCAATATAACAATTTAATAGTTTTACTTACCATCACTGTTTAACAGAATTGTTCTATAACCAAATGTCATTAATGATTTCATTTGCATACTGACTATTCATTTAGTGCGGTTATCATAATAAATAAAAATTTTATTTAACGACAACCAGTGCTATGCACGGTATCGCAATAAAAAATTACGGTAAAGTTGTGCAATAATTTTTTTTATAATTTATAGATTCTTACTTCATCAAATATATACTGCTATATATAAAAGAGGTTTATCTCAATTATGAAAATAAGGGGACAAGAATGTAAATATCTGCGATTCGACGTTATAGTCTATATTACTACCTTACTATAAGCTATAACGACTTTTATTTCTTATGAACCTAATCAACTTTGGAATTTCAGTATAGTAGTAAATATTGTACTAACTTCATTGATTCGTTGAAAAAGCAATTAATATTTATTGATTTTAAATTTTGAAGTAACGCATTGAATATTTTTATTTCAAATGTCTACTATTACGCACAACATGTTACTTAAAATGTTATATTTTACAGTATAATTTTTCATAATTGAATTAATAAAGCAAATGATATTAATTTATTATAGAATTTATAAATTACATCGATGCCTGTACATTAATATATATATATATATATTATTTTTATTTTAATATCCCTCGCATCATTGATAATCATATTATAATTATGACAATTTGTGATCATACCACCAACATCATATTGCTATTTATAATTACTAATATACATGAAACCAAATACTAAAATCAATGGAATACTAATATACGTAATGTTTTTAATCCAATACTTATTTTGTGATAATTTGAAAAAAAGTTGAACATATTAATTTATATCGTAGCTCGTGTTATTACTATGTTATAAATGAAAAAAATATGTTTATTAATTTAAAGTAATTCATACAATTTCGATAAAAAATAGCTTTGTAATAAATATATATATATATATATATATATATATATATATATATATAATATTCAATAACAGCGTAATACGAATGCACATTAAAAGAATATTCTAGAGTTGTAAAAGCCAATACAAATTTAAAAAATAAATCATATTCTGATAATAAGTTGAAAAATATAATAAGATAATATGTATATAAAACAAATATAACATAAATATAGCATATACAAGTACAGAAAATAAAGACAAATAAAAATATGTTACTATATCAGACCTCAATATAAATTAAAATTATTTAATACTTTTGTAAATAGTTAACTATAGGACTTCTGAATTATAAAATATGAAACAATAATTGTAATTTGTTTATTAATTCAAATGGGTTAATTAGTAGATTAATTACTTCATAACAAATGCAGTATTGTAATCTTAAATAATCTTAAACTATTAAGACTTAATTATTCTTATAATTAATATCTTAATCTATTAAGACTCGTCAAAATGATATTAAAGCACAATATGAAATTAATGGATCGAAAGAGTTTATTATCGTATTGTCTCAAAATTGAATTAATTAATATTAATCATTGGTTTCTTAATATTTTTGAAATTTTATTTATGCTCAATATCATATGTAATAGATAAATTTTACATAAAAAGTAACGAATGTTATATTTTTTCATCTTAACTATCATATTAAATTAAAAAATTTCAATAATCATATACATAATATAAATACATATGTCAAGGTTCTATGAAATATTTAATTAATATCATTTAGGAGATTTCATTTGGAAGATTATCATCGATTATAATCTAATACATTAAAGGCAATAAAAAAATTATTAAAAATTAATCACTAGTTACGAATTCACTAAATATATAATTTATTTCAATGAAAATGACTAAAAATATATTTTAAATTTATATTAATTTATTTCGTTGGAAATGAGAAAAAAGAAATTGAATATGGAATAATTTAATAGTACCGCTCGATATCTATAATTAATAACAGCAATATGATGCGCTTTTAAATAACTAATTCAACTTACTTTCAGTACACACGATATTATTTACATAAACAAAAAATTCTTTTATTAAATAATAGTATTTATTATATATTATTAATCCAGCCACTTATTATATTGTACACTTATTTTATTTTATAATAAAATTATCCTAATAATATTAATTTTAAATCACATTCATTAAAAGTAAAAAGAGATATCCACTCTATTACAATACTGTATAATAAAGAAAATAAAAAATATATAATTTCGAAAATTACACCCAGAAAATGTATATTCTCATATTTCGAAAAATTGTTTAGATTTCAAATTTTATAAAAACACTCAGGTATCCAGCTGAAATAAATGAAATAGTAATAATATAATAAATATTATA